CTCTCACACACACACACACACAGAGCGAGAGGACCTCTCCCTCCTCCTCTCTACCCGAGTCGGTCCACCTTGTTCAGCTTCTCTCTCTCTCTCTCTCTCTCCCTCTCTCTCGCTCTATCGCTCTCTCGCTCACACACACAGAGTGGGAGGACCTCTCCCTCCTCCCCTCTACCCGAGTCGTTCGACCTTGTTCAGCTTCCCTCTCTCTCTCTCAAAAAAAAAACAAAAAAACAAACAGTATCCACGTGTGCAGGTGGCATCAACAAGCTTGACCCATCAGCGCCACTGGCACGCGCGAGGATCCGCGCACAATAAGAACGATGTACTCAGATTATTATTATTAATATATTTTTTTCAGATTACATTCTTAGAGAAGGGCTAAAAATGTGTGAGCATGAAAAATTAAAAATGGGGACCGCCTTCGTGCTAGAATGTATCGAGCGGTGAAAGAAGAAGAAGGAGAAGAAGAAGAAAAAGAAGAAGAAGAAGAATGCATAGAGAGATGAGTAGAGGGATATGCAAGCAAATAGGGTAAACTGGAAAACTCCTGTTTCCTCTTTTTTTTCTATCTTTGAGACAAAGTGCAGCGAGGCGATCGCCACGGACAGAATGGATTTGCAAAATTTCCCGCCACGGACAGAATGGATTTGCAAAATTTCCCGCCACGGACAGAATGCAAAATTTCCCGCGATGGATTTTCAAACATTCCCGTCATGGATTTGCAAAAATTCCCGCCCGCCATTGAGATTTGCAAAAATTCCCGCCTTGCAAGTGGATTTGCAAAAATTCCCGCCTTGCAAATGGATTTGCAAAATTACCGCCCGCCATTGAGATATACACTTAAAATCTATGGGATTCGCAAATTCCGTTGAATAAATAAACGCTGATTTCCGTTTTGCCTTTTGCACCATCAAGGAGTAATTGTAATTGATTCCTAAAAAAAAAAAAGAAAAACAGGAGCAAACACAAACCCAATCGGAAAAAAAGGAAAAAAAAAAAGAAAAAAACACGAACCCGGTGGAAAAAGAGACGGCATAACGAAGGCGATGACGTGTTAACCCCTACTAGAGTCTTTGCTCGACCCCCAACCACAACGATCCTGAATGTACACAAACGAGATTTTCAGCTCTAGACACAGTCCCCTCATGTGGCTGCGCAATCAATCACGCAATTAAGCAAGCAATTAATGAAGCAATCAATCGATTCAAACAATCAATCAAATCAAGCAATCAACCAAATCAACCAATCAAACAAATCAAGCAAATCGAGCACCCGGTCAACAAACCAATCAGGCATGCCATCAACAAATCAATCAACAAATCAATCAAGCATTCGATCAAGAGAAGTAAAAAAAGAAAAATCACCGGTGCGCATCAGTCAAGCTAGCAATCAAGATTTCAATCAATATCCCACACCCAGCTCCGCACTTCCGACAGCAAACCAAGCAATCAATCAATCACACAACCAATCAATCAATCAATCAACGAAGTTAAGAAAGTGAGAACACAAAGAGGAAAGAAAGAGCTAGACCGAAGGAGAGAGAGAGCGACAACGACAGTCGATCAATCAATCAATCAATCAACGAAGGTCAGAAAGAGAGAACATAAAGAGGGAAGAAAGGAAAACACGGAAGAGAGAGCAAGACAGAGCGATAGCGACAACGAGAGAATCACAGAGAGAAACCGACAGACAGAGACAGAGGCAGAGCACGAGACCTCAGAGGGAGAGACACAATCAGAGAGAGAGAGAAAGAGAGACACAGAGAGCGAGCGAGCGAGCGAGCGAGAGAGAGAGAGAGAGAGGGAGAGAGAGAGAGAGAGAGAGAGAGAGAGAGAGAGAGAGAGAGAAATACTTGATACCAGAAGTCCCAACCAGAATAACGAAACCGGAGCGACACAGGAGGATCCGAGAATGGGGCTGTCGTTAAATATACTAAATATGTATACATTTTACAAGTAATAATTTGTCAAAGCAAGAGAGAGAGAGAGAGAGAGAGAGAGAGAGAGAGAGAGAGAGAGAGGGATGGTTACAAGATAGTCCAGAAGACGACACATCGTCTGTCTGGTCGGTACTCTGTCACGTTATCATTCACCCCAAGCCGGATCCCGTTCGACAGCTGAGCATCTGAGAACGGAACGAGTACAAGTCGATTAACGAATTCGTCTACAGGGGAGTTGAAGGTGCGGGAAGCGATATGGCGGCCGCTCACGTAGAACTGATTGGCGCAAGAAGAGTCGAGCCCGGCGGGAGTGACGAAGAAACATCCCTGAGAGTTCGCTGATTGCACCCGTACTACCTTTCCCAGAACGACTTCGCTCGTCAGGTAATCTCCGTACACGTGGTCGCCGCTCGTGGCGTTGATCACCAGGCACGGGATCTCTCCGAATCCCGACTCTGCCATGTAGAAGTCGCAGAAGTCGATGGAGAAAGGCAAGCGAGTACGAGCGGCCGACACGCTGGCGCCATAGCTCCTCCTCTTGATCCTCCCGCCGCCCCGTCGGTCACTGAAGAGGGACCACCACCTGCACCTGGTCTCCCCCGTTCGGTCACTAACGAGGCTCCCCCCTCTGCTGCTCCTCCTGCTGCTGCTGATGCTGCTGCAGATGCTGCTGACGCTGCTGATGCTGCTGATGCCGTTGTCGATGTCACCCCGCCTTTCAAGGCTGAGGAGAACCCCCCCGTGAGTCCAACCCCAGTCCAATCCATAAACGTTTTTGTGGTCACTGGCATTATTAGCAATTATGGTGTCCTTGCTGCTGGCGGGGGGGGGGGGGGGGGGGGGGGGGATGAAAGGAGGGGGGGGAGGGGGGGTGATGAAAGTTAATTGAGTGGCAAATGGATCGGCCAGGAGAATCAGGAAGGAGAAGAGCACGATGACGAAGCTGGCGGCAGCTGCGCGCCAATGACTCATCGCCTCGTTAGCTGAGGCGCTTGGCCAGGTCATCACTTCTTTTTTCTTCCTCCAACAAGCCAAACGATTAAACTAAACCAATCCAGTCAAATCGATCAATCAATCACAAAGAATCAACGCAAAAAAAAAAACTATCAACCCATCAATCAATCAACGCAATCAACCGATCAATCAATCAGTGAATCCACAATTAAACGATTAAAGAGTCGATCAATCAATCAATGCAATTAACCGACCAATCAATCAAACCAATCAATCCAGTTCACGGATCAATCAATCAATCAATCAATCAATCAATCAATCAATCAACCAACCAATCAGTCCAGTTCATTGATCAATCAATCAATCAATCCAATGAACCGATCGATCAATCACTCCAAATAACCGACCAATCAATCAAATTCAATTGGTCAATCTATCTATCCACCTAACCGATTAATCAGTTGACAAATTAATCAACCCATTAATCGATCAGCCACTCAATCAACCAATCATCAACCTCAACTCACCTAATTAGCCAACAACAATCACTTACGGAACCCAAAAAAAAAAACAAAAAGATGTGCCAAAAAAAAAAAAAGAACCAAACTCCGACAACCGGGAAAAAAAAAAGAACTAAGACACAAAAACCACCGAAAACCGGGATGATAACACACAGGTACGTAAATCACACAACGCACCTAATCTTCTTTCTAAACGTGGACCTGAGCCGCACAACGCTGAAGGAGAGACCTGAGCCCCACAACCGGAAGCAGAGACCTGAGCCGCACAACCAGAAGAAGAGTCCTCAGCCGCACAAGCTGGTGCAGAGAACTTAGCCGCACAAGCTGAAACAGACTTCAAGCAGAGACCTTAGCCGCACAACCTGAAACAGAAATGAAGCAGAGACCTTAGCCGCACAACCAAAGAAGAAGAGACCTTAGTCGCACAAGCTGACGCAGAGAACTTAGCCGCACAAGCTGTGATGCAGAGAACTTGGCCGCACAAGCTGATGCAGAGAACTTGGCCGCACAAGCTGATGCAGAGAACTTAGCCGCACAAGCTGATGCAGAGAACTTAGCCGCACAGGCTGATGCAGAGAACTTAGCCGCAGTAGCCGCACAAGCTGATGCAGAGAACTTAACCGCACAAGCTGATGCAGAGAACTTAGCCGCAGAATCTGAAGACGAAGCCTTAGCCGGAGAAGCTGAAGACGAAACCTTAGCCGCACAAGCTGAAGACGAAGCCTTAGCCGCAGAAGCTGAAGACGAAACCTTAGCCGCACAAGCTGAAGACGAGACCTTCGCCGCACAACCTGAAGCAGACCTTCGCCGCAGAATTCGCCTCACACTTCGCCGTCAAGAGTCGCACGATCATCAGAAGTCGGGAATCGCACAGGGTGACAACTTGTTGACGTGGGCGACAACCAAGCGCCGCACTTGGAGGAGGCTCACTCCACGACATTGTATGTTCAATCATCAAGCGTCTGCTGCTGAGCTGGCAATCAATCTGGCCACCACTGCTGCTGAGCTGGCAATCACGCTCCCGCCAAAATGTGGTCCCCACTCGCGCGAACCGACGAAGTGTTTTAGTCCGTCGTGATTACCATTTTCACCAAGCGAGTACGCTCACTGCTGCTGAGCTGGCAATCAAGACTGGAGGGGACAATCAAGCGACTGCTGCTGAGCTGGCAAAAGGGGGAAAGAAAAGGAAATCAATCAACGAGATTGCGTTGATAACGGCGACGATAATGGCTTCCTTCACATGCGCTTCCACATTCATCATGTCAGTCATCCCTTCCTCTTTTCCATCTTGCTCTTCCTCTTCCTCCTCCTCCTCCTCTTCCTCCTCCTCCTCTTCCTCCTCCGCCTCCTCCTCCTCGGTTTCTTCCTCTTCCTCTTCCTCCTCCTCCTCGGTTTCTTCCTCTTCCTCTTCCTCCTCCTCCTCGGTTTCTTCCTCTTTCTCCTCCCACATCCATCACACCACTCATCCCCTCCTCTTTTCCATTTTCCTCTTCCTCCTCCTTCGTCCTCTTCCTCTTCCTCCTCTTCCTCCTCCTCCTCCTTTTCCTCCTCCTCCTCCTCGGTTTCTTCCTCTTTCTCCTCCTACATCCATCATATCACTCATCCCCTCCTCTTTTCCATCTTCCGCTTCCTCCTCCTCCTCGGTTTCTTCCTCTTCCTCCTCCTACCCTTCTCCCTGTGTGTTTTTCCCCCCCGCTCTCCCTCTGTTGTTTGTCATTTCCTATCCTTATTTTATTTTATTTTATTGATCAACGTAAATACAGAGAAGACGTTGCTTCGTGCCTTCCTTACCACGTCTGGTCTGGTCTGGTCTGCTATCCCACCTACACCTCAAGTTCCCTGAATCTGGACATGTTTAAGGTGCAGATAATCACGATGGTAACGAACTCCGACTCGATCTTTCTTCCTCACCCTCCCGTCTACTACCATCTTCACCCGAATAGAACGCCCGGTCATTATAGCTGCATCTGGACTGAAAGTTGCCCTACATACAGCCATAATGCCCGGGCGTTCTCTTCGGTTGAGACGGTAGTCCTCAAGTTCCCTCAATCTGGACGTGTTTCTGGAGAGGTGCACATAATCACGTCTATTTCTTCTTCCTCCCCTCTTCCCAATCTTTTTCCTCCTCCTCCTCCCTCCCCCTCCTCCTCCTCCTCCTCCCTCCCCCTCCTCCTCCCCCTCCTCCTCCTCCTCCCTCTTGACTCTTCCATTATCCTCCTCCTCCTCCTCCTCCTATTTTTTGCTCCCTCTTTTCCATCGCCCCCCCCCCGGTTTCCTTTTCTTCCCCCCCTTCTTTTCTCCAAAGCAAGCACCTATTTCGTTTTTTTTTTTGGTTTTCTTTTTCTTTTTGGTTCGAAAGCACGCACCTATTTTTTTTTTTTTTTTTTTTTTTTTTTTTTTTTTTTAAAACATGTTTTTTTTTTTTTTTTTTTTTTTTTTTTTTTTTTTTTTTTTTTTTTTGGGGGGGGGGGAAGGCGGGGTGAAAGCAAGCACCTATTTGCACACGTCGGTTGTCGCTATTACTTTTCTCCTCTTTTCCCTATTTTCCTCTTCTTTTTCCTCCTCTTTTCTTCCTCCCTCCTTTCTCCTCCTCCTCCTCCTCCTCCTCTACTAGTCCATCCTTCTCCTCCTTCGTTCACCCTCTTCTCCCCCCCCCTTCTATCTCTTCTTTTTCTTCTTGCTGGCTATAATGATGAGTCAGGGTGGGGGGAGGGTCTCATAATAGGGGGCTTGTACAGAAAATCATCCGGACGATCAAATGGCCAATTGCGGAAGGGACTGTCATCATAATCATATGCCTGGCGGCTACCGTCTTTACCCGAATAGAACGCCCAGTCATTATGGCTGTATTTGGTGCAACTTTCAGTCCAGATACGGCAATAATTACCGGGCGTTCTGTTCAGGTGAAGACGGTAGCCTCTACAACAACCTGGATTTATATATATGAAATTATAATTTAAAAAAAAAAACAAAAAATAACAGTCAGCTACACAAAGAAGAAGGAAAAAACAGCCAGCTACTATTTGGCCACTGGGGAGAGTTCCCACTAGCAAAGAGATTGGATTGAACGCCGATTAATCTGCGTTTTTTTCCTGCATTTCTGCGGAAAAACACGTCCAGATTCAGGCGCTTAATCCAATCCTCCTCTTTGCTAGTCGGACCTCGCCCCTGGTTGTCACCATTCCTCATTCTCTCGCTTTTTTTTCCCTTCTTCCCCTCTTTTTCTTTCTTTTTTTTTTTTTTTTTTTGGTTGGTAAGCTGCCTTCTCCTCCTCGGGGGACACTCTGGGAGGGAGAAGGAAGGAAGGAAGGAAGGAAGGAAAGCTCCGCCTATATATAGTTCATGATTCATGATAGACTTACTTATATGTCTACATTCATTCGATATTTTGTTTGATATTTCTCTCTTTTAATACTATCAAACAAAAAATCGAATGAATGTATTCATCACCTCTTACGTACACAGCCGGCCACGTGGATATCGTCAAACAGAGCTGCCTATGGTAAACCGTAGGTGGCAGAGAGGGAGGGAGGGAGAAGAGGAGAAGAGGACAACAAACGAGGGGCTGTGACAAACTGTTTATATATTGTCACATGATATCAGAGCGCCAAAGCGAAAAACAGAGAAAACAAAAAAAAACAAGAAAAACTGAATTCGTTTTTAATCTTCTTACATACAATTCCCCCTGTACAGAACCTCCCCTTGCAGCTACATCATCACCATTTCAATTATTAAAAAAAAAAAAAATCCCCATCATTCAGTCGGGAGAATGGTATGGTATGTTTATGACGTCGGTTTTTTTTTTTTTCTTTTTTTTTTAAGAAGTTTTTTTTTCTTTTGTGTGTGGTCTAATTTTCATTTCATTTCCGCCAAATTATATACGTATATTAATATATATCGTCACAAACAGAACTGCCCGGTAAACCGTAGGCAGAGAGAGAGAAGAGGACAACAAACGAGGGGCTGTGACAAACTGTTTCGTCGGAGTTTCACCGACTCATCAGGAGGCTGAACCCTCAACAGTCTGCAGAATCCCCACTCTGATTACACTGTAAATGATAATCTACCTTAACCAAAATCAAAGTAGACTATCACTCACCCACACCAGATGGAAAACTCTACAGACTGTTGGTTCACACCCCATCACAAGCCAGCAAAACATCCACGAAACAAAGAAAGGTCTGTCACAGCCAAAAAATACACTCCAGACACGCCGCTGGCATATTGTCACATTGGAAATCGGAGCGCAAAGGCGGAAAAAGACAAAACAAGAAAAAGAAAAAGAAGGAAGGAAGGAAAGCCCCACCTGTTCATCACCTCCTCGTACAAGGCCAGCCACGTGGATGACAGGTTAAGCGCTGGCTGCCCCCATCCCCGTGTGTCACAAAGACCCACTTGCACGCAGCCAAAAGGCACAGAGGTCAAAAAAAGGCGGAGGAAACCAAACTTCACAGAAGAAGAAAGCCTATTAAACAGACGAAGGAAACCAAACCTCACAGAAGAAGAAAGCCTATTAAACAGACGAAGCAAGTGACACATCCCACAGATAATCCAATCACCATCCCACAGAACATATTTTTCTTTCTTTCTTCTTTTTGCTTTTTTCTCAGGTTTCTTTTTTTGTGTTTTTCCTTGGTTTCTTTTTTTATTTATTTATTTATTATTTTTTTACTCGGTTTCTTTTTTTATCTGTCACCCCCTCAGCAGATAGGACAACTACGGTGAGGATGACGGGGATGTTCACAGGGATACCCAAGGAGAGTTGCGCTAGTACAGCATTCAGCCGGACGGCTAGCACGAACCATCCCATCGAAACAATCCCGACAGAGGAGCGAGTACAGATTTAGGGTACATATGTATATATATATACTCACACTAGGACAATCTGGGATGCATCTGGCGCTCAAGACGACCAGGTTAGGCCGAAAACGTCGGGTGTGAATACCCTCCACCCAAATAAGGGTGGTGACTAGGGTCTCGCTATGTCGCTCCACCTCCTTTCCACGGCCGTCCTGTCCGATCTGGGACGTATCTGGCCCTCAATACGACCAGATTAGGCCGAAGATGGCCAGGTGTCAATACCAATACCCTCCTCCACCCACGTAAGGATGGAGATTACCGTCTCTCTCGCTCTGTTCTCTCTGTGATGAGTGCTGAGTCGGCCGTGGTCGGCATTCACCAGGGCCCCACGGTCTTCCCCGCCTGCAGCGGCGGAGTCGCAGCGCCACCTTTCAGCAGGGGCTCACCAACGAAAGAGTGGCGAGTTCTGCGTGCCCCTGCAGAGGGCAAGTCGTGGGTGGGTGGGTGGGTGGGTGTGGGATGGGCGGGAGGGTACACTTGGGGCCTCGACGCACTGCTCAACATGTTTGGTGGGGTCTCACCGTCGACTTTCTTTTTTGTTTGTTTGTTTTTTTCAATGCAAAGGGCCCTCGACGCACTGAGGGCTTCATTGTAAAATTGTGAACAGAGGCCGGGAATCCCTCGTACAAATCAACCCGGAAAGATAGCTGAGTGTAGGCACCATTAGACGCAGGCGTTGGGACTAGTAGAATCTAGGGACTGTTATACCGCACACTAAGCTTGGCAAAGGTCTTATGAAGTGGGGGATGGGCAGCGTTCTCTAATGGTACTGTTCAAAGCCAACACTCTCCCTCACACCACACGCAACCCACTCACACGCGCACTCAGACCCGTGTTGGCTGAAGACCTTACTGAACCGACCGGGAGGATCCAGCTCACTATCTCAGCTGGTTGGCACCAAAAGTGCAAAGGCGGCCGTGGAGATTGAACCCACAACCTCCTGAATGCTACTTGCATGCCTAATCAAATGAGCTAGGACTCTGGATGGAGCCCAGATTCTTCTATACAGGGCCAAAAAAAAAAAAAAAAATTGGTCAGTAGTGGAGCAAGGCCCTCCATCTCGACAGCTCCCGGGCCAAAGGTAAGTGCGTTTTTCTTCTTCTTCTTTCGGAAAGTCGATACGTTTTTTTTTCTTCTTTTCTTTTCTTTGGGAGCCCTGCCAACAATGCAGGGCAGTCCGCAGCCAGGATGGCTGCGTATACATGGATGTCTTTTGTCGTTTAGCGGCCCGTTTCCTTATGGGGAATGTCGTCGACCGGGTAAGTGGGTTTAGAGGGCGTTGTTGCGCAACTAATAGGGTTGCGGTCGCCAACCGGGCACCAACCGGTAGTCTTGTGAGGGAACGCGGCGGCGGTCGTCGGAGATGGTGGTGTGCGTCTGGTCGTAGCGCCCTTTCTAGTATGGGAAAGGTTTTTTCGATTATCTGGCCGTTCGTTCTCCACTGAGATCGACAGGACCAGTTTTTTTTTCCGTCTGGCCGGTAATATCCATTGCCAACACATCAACGGCTGTTGTTCTTTTTTGTGGTCCCGTCAATGTATCTGCCCAGCATGTGAGGACCTAAGACATGTCGTTACCTTTTTTTTTTGCCTTTTTTTGGGCCTTCCTCCACGATTTTCGACATGTACAGAAGACAAAATATGACAATGTTTCTTTCCTTATTCTAGGGAAGTGTTCAGTCTCATTTCGCCCTTTTTTTTTGTTTTTTTTTGGGCCTTCCTCCACGACTTTCGACATGTACAATACAAAAAACAAAAAATATGGCAATGTTTCTTTCTACATTCTAGGGAAGTATTCAGTCTTTTTGTTGTCCCCTCTCCAGCTCAATTTTTCGTTTCGCCTTTTCTAATCTAAATGTATCTGACTGCAATCACGTTCACAGTTAGGTTCGCAGCCATCAGGCTCATCCTGGCGTCGATGTTTTGTGCGGTCAGGTTCGCCAGGTCGTCGATGCAGCGTTCGGTTGTGTAGCCATGTATGTCTACTGCGGGTCGTGAGAGCGAGTATCACCTCTCATCAGCATTCGGCGTAGGTAAAAGCTGTGAATAAAACAGAGTAG